GATTTTAATCAAACACCTCTTTTTTTGTAAATATGATTTTAAAAATCAAGGATGGACGATAAGGACAGGGATAGACTCAAATATCCTTTAAAGTTAACTCTCCAAGGTGTCTGCATTTATTTGATCCTCTCGATAATAATTAAAGATGTTAAATCTGAGGTGTGTCAGCAAAAGGAAAATTCTTACCATCGTCAAGGACAAACTCCTCCATGCTGTCTGTGTCAGAACGCTTTTACTTTCTATTTCAGAGAGGAAATGAAATGACAGCCCCTTTTCCTGCCTAAAGGAATGTTGCTCTTTGGGAAGTGGGGCCACCCCTCACCAGGACACATCAATAATCAGGCCAGTGTGGTCCATCCCGGATACACTTGTGTTATATACCCTAGGAAGCTAGATGAGCTTCCATGCCGATCCTAAGGACACTTTTCTATTCCCTCCTTCCTTTTTCATACTGGTGGATATTGTAACCTTACAGTGTTGTAGGAAATACCATCAACATTCCTGACAAGTCCCCAATGGGACGAATTCTAAAGAGCTAAAATAATTATAAAGAAACAGAGGGACAAAATAGATGATTCACTAAATGTGTACTCTAAATGCAATTGACTTTATGGGTCATTTTATGTATGTCTGCTTGTGTGATGCAATGAGTCCTAAAGCAACACTGGGCGTGGAATCCCAGAAGAGAGCTGGCTGATGTGCTCACAGCCACTTAAATTTTAAAGTTTTAAAACCTCATTTAATGTGCTTCTAGATTGATACCATTGGCATGCCTGATCTAAAATTCTGTGTGTGTGTGTGTGTGTGGGCGGGGGTATGTGTATGTAAGAATATTTAGGACAATTCTTAGATTATCGTTACAGAGTTACTACAGAGGGAACCCACGCCTCTAAGTACCTGTGCTTTTTCTGCTGCCTCATCCAAGGCATGCAAAAGGTAATTTCAAGCTGTGATAGGAGAAAAAAAGGTGGGGGGGGGATGAAGGTCCTTTTAAGAATCAAATAGTTGCTTTGGCTGCTTAATTAAAGGACTACAAAGGGATCCTAACATCTGGTTATTTACACAAACGATCTTAACTGGTTTTATTCTGTTATGAATATAACTCAAATTCAATTACCTTTTAAAATACATCTGGATCTGCTAACAAATGTGCTTTCATAAATTGTTACTGTGTAAAAATAAGCTTTCTTTTTGAGCATTCATTAAAGCATGTGCTATTTTATTTTATTAAAAATAATTTTGTCTAAATTAAAAAATTCTGTAAAACTTGTTTTGAAACACAAATTAAAAGCAAAAATGAGTAGGAGAAAGAGATGTTTTTAAAAATAAACGTCAAAGGGAAAAATGCTTTTGATGAGAAAGAATTGTATAAAGTAAAGAAAGGATTGCCCCCAGAAAGAATCGGAACAGACACAGAAGGGTAAAGAGATTTCCAAATGTGTCTGAGTAGGTCTTAAAATATACAGATGGAACTTATATCAAGTCCATGTGTGAGATTAAGCTGACTATGCTTAAAGGGTTATCTAGGATTTTCCAAAGTCAATACTTAATACACTGGTATAAAAATAAAACTTAACTCTATGTCTTATACAACAATGCTTTCTTAAAAACATTGCTCAGCTTTTATTAAGATTTATTTTTTAAAGTGACTTAAAAGGTAAAGATTTTATCAAATAATTGCTTGTGTTTGCCAATGATTTTTTTCCGGTTTTTGACTGAGTCTCAACTAAGCCAGGTTTCCTTATGTGTCTCCTTATGTCAAGGTCTTTTAAATAGCCACTTTATAAACAACTGTGATTTCAGATGATTTTAGTACATTCTATATATGCAAATAAGTGAAGCTATATGTCTAATGAACTTTTTCTCAATGTTACATAAAAGTTTGCAGAGTTAAAGATTTGAAAGTTTAGTCCTGATGCATGCATTTCCTCTGACTAAATAAGGTTTTTGTATCTATGAGATACACTTATATATCAAAACAGACCTAGAAGAGGCCTAAAACTTCATTTTGCCAACGCTGCAGAACTACAACCCTACTAAACCAAATATCCTAAACTGTGTTTCAGAAGTAAAAGCTAAACCAATATATAAAGGACAGCTGTGTGGCTATGATGCTATTACTGACTCCTCTGTGCGTTAAGTGAATTAATGTTCTCCAAGTATGTAAGTGATCTAAAACACAGAGCTTAAGCAAACACTTTGCTAAACTGGCATTCTCCAAACTACAGCTGTTAATGGTGCTAGTCTTTTTCAAAATTGTGCTCACATACTTCTAATTTCACCATGTAGTCAAGCAAAGATAATTAGACTTGTCCAAACACTACATCCAAAGCAGTGACAATTAAAAGAATTGGACATTGGTCACCCAAAAGTACATCTGTAGACAAGAACCTTATTTAAAATTCATTTATTCCATAGACAAAATTGTATGGAAATTTACAGATAGGTAGATGCCTATTATTGACAATATATAAAATTTATACCAGTCTCTATGTTAAAAAATTTAAATGTCTTCAAAAAGATAACAAGAAAAGCCTTTTGGTCCTGACACAGTGCTGTGATTCACCACTACTGTCTTCAGTCTACTGTGCACTACTAGACTGCTTTGCCAATTGCTAACTGTTTTCAAAATCCTAACCTTGACTGTTCTAAGTCTTTTAGACTTCCATTTCTGGGTGTGAACTGTATTTCTATCTTTCCTTTGCTTTCTTACTAATAGTGTGTGTTAGTCTGCTTGCACTGCTACAGTAAAGTACTATAGACTGGGTGGTTTGTAAGCATTTGACATTCATTCCTCATAATCCAGGAGATGGAGAATTCCATTCAAGGTCCCATATATACAGTATCTAGTGAGGATTTGCGCCCTGGTTCATAGATGTGTGTTTCCATGGCAGGAGGTGTGAGCTATAGCCTTGCAGTCTCTTTTATAAGGGCAGTGATCCTTCCTCAAATCCCTATCTGCCAACACCATCACAATAAGATTTCAACACATGAATTTTGGGAGGATGCCAACATTTGGACCATAGCAGCTGCTTGTAAGTTTGTGGGGAACAATAGGGAAAGGAGAAATTGAAATAGCAAGTCATGCATGCTGGTATTTCTTTGAGCTCTATCAGTTTTGGTTGGGCATACAACCTCTCAGAGACCTTCCAGGAGGTCTGCAGTCATTTGACTTGATGCTGTTATCAACAATCAAGGCAACATCAACACTACTGCTGGCAGCCAATATTTACCTGGAAAAGTATGGTGCTAAGAACTTCCCACCCATTGCCTCACTTAACAATATATCTGTGTATATCTACACACACATGGCAGAGGAAAGAGGGGACGTTCGGTAACTTACATTTGACTTTCTTCAACATCCTCCCTTTTTGTGTGGGGCACAGATTAGCACTCTTTAAGCTTTTAAGCTCTGCCCAGGCCTCACTCTTGCTACGCTCTGCCACTTGAACCGAACCCCAGCCCCTTATAAAGAATTCCTGGAATACATAAGAATATTTGAAATAGTTTAAACATGGCTTCTTTAGGTGCTGTGCACTTCGGCTTACTGGCCTCCGACACTGTTCTTTCTAAGCTGTCCTCGTGCATAACTATTCTGCTTATTATCATGGTTTCACACATTTTCAGTGGAAAAGCATCAGTCATCAGAACTGTACTTATAAATCCTATTTTCTCCATGGCACAGTGTGGCTACCCACAGAGTGGACCAAAGTGCATTGCAACAATCAAAGTACACATTTGTGCTCTAGTTATTAACTGCCTTTACATGATTCAGAGCCATTGGTATCTCTGCTGCAACAAAAATGATCAGATGAACAAAAATTAGTGGGAAGAATTTCATGGTTAAAAAGAAATTACAGTTTTTAATGCATTTCCAGCTTAAAATATCAAGGAACATTTCTTCACAGACTTCTTATGTGCTTGCCTCTTTAACAGTGCTTTTAATAGCTCAGAATGATTCACCATTATTTCTTTGGTATTCCACACTTTAAATGTTAGAAAAATTTCTGTTAAACCCTGAGGTAGGAGTTCTCTACTGTGTCCACTTCTAAAATTCATTTATTGAGGAGTATGTGTTTACAGTATTACTTCAACTCTGAATAAAGTGCTTACTAGATAATACAAAAGTCTAAGCTAATATTTCCTTAAAATAAAGAAGCTTAGATTTAGGCTCTGTATTTTCACAGACATTATTTTTTTTCCCTCCCTATGTAACCAACAGAAAGTACATTTAGTTTCCTCTGGGGCATTTTCCTCTATTTAAATGGTCATTATTTTTTCCTTTGGACATTTTCTGAACTATTGTACATGTGTATGGGACGTGAAATAATGTTCCCAAGGACTGTACAGTCTCACAAAAATTTTACGTTTTATTTTTAAAGATGTTCTCTCTTTCTTTCTTTTGCCCAAAATATTTTGCCCAAAAGTTTAACTTTGGCTCCCAAGCGAAACAGATGGAATTTAAATCCTGGTCCAGGTACTTCTATCTCTGAGGCCTGAACAAGCTGTTTATACTCTCAAGTGTAAGTGTTTAGTACCTGACTTTTAGGATTCCTGGAAGGACAGAAGGAGGTGAGGTGTACTAGCTCATTGTTTGCACTTCCACCTGCTCAACAGATGCTAGCAATAATTTTTATTTTTGCGAAGGACAAAGGTCTTATATTCAGTAGCAGTAATATGTAAAATCTAATAAAGTTTAACTGTTTTGTGTGTTTGGTGGGACTTGAAAAATACGTGACTAAACCTGCTCTCTATACAGCAGTAATAAATTAGGTTACTGTGTCTCAACAGCATCTAAAGCTTTTCTGAAGTTACATACTAAATGCATGAAAATATTTCATACAGTACCTTTAAGAATAGTATCAGGCAAGCTATCTAAAGAGTATGGTTGACTTTTAGCATGTCTGTGAGGATGAACTTGGAGCTTTGTGTTCCCAGCCTTCTCGGTGGCCTTATGATTTCTGGTTAAGTAACTGAAATGGTGGATTTTTGCTTTTCAGTCACTCAAGACTGCTTGCAACTGATTGCAGATGGTGATATGCCGACTATCCGAAAAGGTAACGAACTGGCCCTCGTACGTTGTCCACTTAGGATTCAGTCCCTACAACTTGTAAGTCTGCATTGTATCTGAACCACCTCTCAAATCAGCCTTCTGCCTCAAAACTTATTGTCATCAGATGTCACAGAGAGACATTCAACTTGATCAAAATGACTGGGAAATATTTAGAATTGCATAATACTCTGACAAACAGAATTCCCTTAAAGGCACTAATATTTATGAGTTTTAAATAACTAGACTAATACTCAATAAGAATTAACTTTTCATAATTTAGAAAGAGCTGTCTTTGTTGGTGACATGAGACCATCTTCACAAGCACTAATTCTGTTCTATTTGGTTATAAAAATTATAATAGAATAAAAGTGAACCTGAACATACCCAATAAATTATATTTTTATAAATTGTCTAATGCCAAAGTGTTACTTGGTAATTTATCATTTACTCATAGAAGTATCATGTTTTGAACTTGCTTTTCAGTCACTGGAAGCTTTTGTTAGCTTTTACTCTAGGCAAATAAGTACTTTCTGTATTAATGGATAAAAACAAAGTTCATGGGGAATAAATTTTAGCACCACATCCCAAAAGGTGTCACTTGCAGTATTAATCCAGATAAATGATCCTTGAAATAAGAGTTTTATTATTAAATAAGTTTAGAAACATAGTATCCTATATATTTTTATTCAAGACTCACAAGACACATTCACAAAGTACTGAATCTGAGACACTTTGCTCTGAAAAAGTATTTCTTTAACTTTTTTTTTGTTTAATCCAGCTTTTTACAGATTCCTGTGATGGTGCCACTCTACTTTGTTGCAAAGTTGACAATTTTTCAGGCAAAGTTGTCAACTTTGTCCAAAAGCAAAGTATTTTGGGAATTGATGACATATAACAATTCCTGACAATACAAAATAAGCCATGAACAAGAATGTACCAGAGAGGAATCGTTCGTCTGTTCATTGACACATTCATTTATTCATTTTACACATGCTTAAATGAGATCTACTGAAATGGTTGCAGGAATGGGGGAGGAGGGATAAAGGAGAATGATGGAGGGGTGAATTCAACTATGAAACATTGTAAGAACGTTGGTAACTGTCACAGTATACCTCCAATACAACAAAAATAATAGAAAAACATTTTTAAAAAAGAACATACAATGTTCTAATGACTGGAGGAGCAATGGGGTGGGAGTATTAAATTAAGTATGATGACTTTTCACTTTGTTGGAATTTATCTTCTGGAAGCAGAAAAAGAAAAAAGCCCACAAATGAACAAGTGAAATGTAGAAAGATGAAATGGAATGTTATGTGTTATGGGGGAAAGGAGAGGTGGCAGGAATGGGAATTTCTGAGTTGTCACCCACAGTGGGACTTGGGGTTATCAGGAGATTAGCTGGGGGTGGGGAGAAGAAACTAACACGGATAAAGACATAGATTGCCTCTATGATTCTCTGGAGTCTGACTTTGCATCTGTTGTTTCCTGTGTGACTTCTGTTATCACAAATGCCAAACAAGTACCAAACCGTTTACAAATCTATAATTGTTTATTGCACCACATTTTCCAAAATCATGCTTGCAACTTTTAAAAGGCAAAGAACTATTTCCTAAGGATTAAAATAAAGCCAGAGGAACACCCTAAGGACCAAAGATAAAATTATTTAAAAATGCTTGGAAAAGGTTTGCATTACACAGTTGGACAAAAGATGTAGACATACAAACTGATGCCATGCTCTCTCGTGAGCGTGAACTTGGCAGCTGTGGCCCTCTGCCTTGGAGCGCTGTCTGTCCCGGACTGAGGCACACAGCTGCCCAGGCTGCAGCACCACAGGCTCAGGTTGCACTCTGGTGCAGGATGGATGCAAGCAAGCCCTGAGAGAACATTTACCGTTCGCAGAACTTTCAGCAGGGAGACAGAGGGAGATCCCCCTTTGTTAAGAAAGGTGTACCCAATGAAGCATTTGCACTTGTTCAACTCTGCAGGTTTTTACAAAAGATAATGTACTATGATCTCCGGTGTTGAGATGAAATTGTGTTACAACACAGAAAAGCAAGAGAGGCCTGTGCAGTGTGGACTCTCCTCTGTCCTGTATCTTATCTTTAGTTGGATTTTTTTTTTTTTTGAGACGGAGTCTTCCTCTGTTACCCAGGCTGGCTTCCAACTCGTGATCCTCCTGCTTCAGCCTCCTCTGTGCTGGGATTACAGACATGCAGCACCATGCCTGGCTTTTTTTGTTTTTTGTTTTAATGTTTGACTGGTATTAAAAACCCTCACTCCCCTTCCAATCCACTCCACTTAGCAATTTACCACTTTCATTGTTTCTTATGTAGATTTTATAATGAAATTAGACTATAGTTGTGATTTCCCCTTCTTTATATTAAGCCTAATGCACCATAATTGTGATACATCTTATGTGAAAACAAGAATATGACCGGTTTTCTTTATTTAAAAATGCATACTACAGACATTTTTATGCCTGTAAGTAGAAAAATTCCCTCATTATTTAAAAAAGAACTCTACTGTTCTGTTGTACGAATGTAGCTTATTTAATGAGTTCCCTGCTAGTACGACATTGTGACATTAGTACGACATTGTGACATTTGGAATGATGAGTTTGCACTGTTGTTGCCAAGTCATTCCGTTAGAGCCAATTAAATTTACGCTATGATTCCATGGCACAAAAAAGAACAAGGTATTTTAATTTCTCTTCTTTTAATATGAAGTGCATGGACCATCTTTTTCTATATCTTAAGAACCATTTTTCTTTTCTGTCTTTACAATCTTCTAATTCTCCTTTGTATTTTTATTTCCTGTTCTGGGGCTGCTTGTTTCAAGTCTTCCCATTTTTCTATCTGGCTGTTGGTCTCTTGTACTTTGGTTTGCATGAGCTCTTTATGTGTTAGGCAGACTAATCATTTACACCGTGAATTTTGAATATTTCCCACGGTGGTGAAATTTGTCCTTTCACTTTTGCATAACACAAGGTTGTCCTTTAAAATCAAGTTTGTCAATATTTTTTAAGGATTCTGTATTTTGAATCATGATTAGAAGGGCCTCCCATGGCCCTTCTCAAACTTTTATTGTTAGTTTTTACATTTAACTATTTTATGTAATTGCTTCTTATTCTGGTGAGGTTCAACCAACTTACACTTTTACTCAGAAGGTTGTCCATTTACCAACATTAAAAAATAGCTCCTAATTCTAATACTGTTGGAATATTTTAACTTATATAATATTTCTATATTTGGGTAAATTAGGGTTTTAATTTTAGCTTTTTTTCCTGACATTTCTATTATATTAGTTTGTGTGTCTATCAAGGACCCCAACATGCCCTTTTTGTTATCAGGGAGTATATTACTATCTGGCCAGTCTATTTCCCTCTTCTGTTTTTAAGTTTTTCCTGTTCTTGGTTTTTCCACAGAAATAGTAGAATCAGCTTACCAGGTTAAAAAGAAAAAAAGTTATATGCAACATATGACTTTTAATATTTTTGTTGAATCTCGTTATGTTTGCAAATTACGATAATAAGAGTTCCTGTGAAATCCAGTAAGAGAACCTAATCTTTTACTTGTCTGGTCCTCTTTTGTCTCTTTCAATGTGTATTGAAATTTTCTTCTTATAGATCTTTTATACTTCTTGTTAATACTTTCTAAAAATATTTTATTGAATTTCCCCCAAAGGTTTTATTCTTTCAGCTGCTATCACTCTTGGGACTATTTTTTCTTATTCTACCTTTTAGCTGGTTGTCCTTTTTGTAAATAAAGGTCTTGAGCTCTATGGTGTATCTTTTCAATATTAAGGTTACAATACTTAGTTTTTTTTTTTTTTTTTGGTGGTTGTGGGATTTGAATTCTGGTTTTTTTTTTTTGCTAGGCAGGCACTCAACCACTTGAGCCATTCCACCAGCCTTGTTTTGTGTTGGGTATTTTTGAGATAGGGTCACCTAGGGCTGGCTTTGAACCATGATCCTCCTGATTTCTGCCTCTTGAGTAGCTAGGATTACAGGCTTGAAGCACCAGCACCTGGCTAAAATATTTAATTTTTTCACTTACATTTCCTTAGTAGATTATTTGACATAATTTGTTTCAGTTGTCCTTCATGTATACAGAACAGAGCTGACATTTATTTTTTGTTCTCATCTCAAAATAAAGTTCATTTACTTGTTGGATGATGTAGACCCGTCTGTATTTGCTGATTTAGGAAATATGCTAGGCTTTTATTCATCATATTGTGATATATTTTGTCTTGTTTCATATTTTAACAAAGGAATTTCTACTTTATAATTCAAAGAGTTTGTTCACTCTGTAAGCTAATTGCTTTGGTTTCTCTATGTGTGTAGGACACTAGTATTTAATTATGTTTATAATTATATTCTTTTTTATTGAGGTCAAGTACACATAATGTACAATTAAGGTATTCAATTCACTGACATTCACAATATTCTGTGACCACCAACTCTCTCCTAATCCCCAAACAATATCCTTCCCTCCTATCCATTACCAGTCACCTCTGCTCCATCTCCCCCTCCCCAGCAACCAGCAACCTTCTGTCTCTGTGGGGGTCACCTATTCTGGATGTATCCTACAAATGTAATCATGCGATGTGTGGCTTTCAGTGTCAGGTCCTTCACTCATTGTGACGTCTTGAGGTCACTACTTTACAGCACATATTAATACTTCACTCCTCTGTGTGGGTGACTATTATAGCATTATATAAAAAGCACAGTTGTTTACCCCTTTGCCCACTAATGGGCATTTGGGTTGTTGCCAACTTTTGGCTACTGTGAGCAGTGATCCTATGGGAATTTGTGTAAAATACTTGTTTGCATAACTCTTTACAATTTGGAGTACACATTTAAGGTTGTAATTGTTAAGAAATTGCTGAACTGTTACCTGTAGTGGCTGCACTCCATGGCCTCACCAATTTGTGGTGACTTCATTACAATTATCATCCTTGCTCCTTTCCTGTCGTGTGTGGAGTGGTGCCTCTCTGTACCACTGG